GACCTCCAACATGGAAGTCCCAAGCCCAAACCACTGAGCCACCCCGAAGGGTGGGTATTATAGTACTTTAACATTCAAGTTAGGAAGTTCATGCTTTTAAGGTAGTATAGATACAGATATAGATTTAGATATACAAAGTTACCTGTTTAAAAAAGATATATATTTCTTCATTTTTTTAATCAATTCCTCATATTCCATGGTAAATGTTGCCCTCCTAACTGTCAACTCTTCTGTTAAAATTCTGTCTTAGAGAATTGCATCAAGTTCTCCCATTTTTCTGACAGTTTCTTCCTCTGTGAGCCCACATTTCCATGTTCGCTCATGTATACAATCTAACATTATAAGAACTCATTGGACAAAAAGGTGAAAAATATGCTCCCAGGCAATTTTATCGAGACTTCCTTTTAAAGACCCCTTCAGGGTCTTTGATCCCTTTTCCGGCAGTCTTCAACCACCGGAATCTTCCCTATCTTTCTTTTTTCTTTGAAAGCCTTTTTTTCATCATGGAAAATTGTATTTACTTTAGACTAGGTGGGAAATCTTTTGACATTACAGAGACTATAATGTTTTCTGATACATGGTTTGAATGGGTGGAAAGCTCTAGGTACTACATCAGGAGGATGACTTTTAGCAAAGGGGCTCTGGGTTGGCTAGCAGAAGGTTGCGAGAAGCATCAGAAGTCAGGGGTAAAATGTTTAAGACATGGAGAGGCAGAGATGTTTCAACTAATATCTTTTGCTCCTTGAAGTTCAACAAGTTTGGTCGTTTTTTGTCGATCATTACGGTTAATGGCCAAATGAGGTCTGTTATTATTATTCCAGAAAACAAGGACAATGAGGGGTGGTTGGGACTTGTCAGCCGGATTGAAAGCTTCATTAATAGGAGGTCTTTAATGTAAGCTGGTACTCCAGCAATAGGGGAGATAAATCATCCTTCAAAGAGGAGAGAAGGTAGCTACAAGGATGCTCTCTATAAGAACAGATGGATGGTGCAGGAACCAACTATCTCCAAGGTACAAGGCACTGTGACAGCTTCTTTACACCATGATGGAAAGGATCTTTTACAGAGATGTCTAATAGGAAGCTTTCCAGATTGCAACGAGATGCCAACAAGAAATGATGTGAGAAGGAGGATCCAACAAACTTGGAAAGGAGTTTACAATATCCAGGTTTTCGACATGAATGGCATTCAATTCCTATTCGAATTCCAGTCGAGGAAAGATGCACAACACATTCTTCTTGGTAACTGGAAGAGACAGGGCAAACAACTTGTGCTTGACTGGTGGTCTCCGACGTCTGGGGCTTATCCAGCCCACACCACTTTTCAATGGTTTTGGATTCGAGTACTTGGTCTACCTCTTCAACTATGGTCTGAGAATATTATGAAAGAGATAGGAGATAAATGTGGGGGATGGCTTGCAACTGAAGAAGAAACCACGATAAAAAAACCATCTGTGATGGGCTCGAATCAAAGTGAAAGGCCCCATTGAAAATATTCCCAGGGAAGTTGAAATTCAAGATGGTGGTTTGATTTTCTCCCTTCCAGTTTGGGTTGAAGCTCCGGCAAGATTTCGCAGATCTGAGGTGGTTGAGCTTGACAGCCAAGAAGTCAGTCCTAGGCTAGAAAAGGAAAGGGATAAAGCTACTAACTCCATAAAGCAAATGTTGACTTCCCAGGGATTAAGGAAAAGGAGAGACAGAAAGGATCCTGTGGATAATGATATGCATTTAAGGAATGTTGTGGGGTCCAGTAGCCATGTGGATAAAGTTGTTGATGCCATAAAGCAGATGTTGACTTCACAGAGAATTGGGCCAAGGAGAGAGGGAAATGATCTTGTGGATGTGATGGGACATGCATACGGGGGCCCCACTGCTACAGGTCAAGTGAAACCCCAATCAAATTATTTGGGCCAGCCGACCCATTTAAATAAAAGCCCAACAAAGGTTGTTGAGCCTTTTTTTAAAGATATTAACATTTGGCCAGTTAATACAGAAGCCCAAAATACTCTGTCAACATGCATAGAACAGAGTATGTGGAGTGAAGTGTCAAGAAGAGCTATCCAGACGGAGTCTCTGCAGCTGGACGATATAGAGAAGCGTCATTCAAAGTCGATTCTGTCGAAAATAAGGGAGACAAGTGATAAAACTAAGGAAGGGGAGGTACAGGGGAATTCTCAACAATTAATTCCTCTTAGTGATCCGACACCTCTCAATTGTGATGCCTCTGAATGCAGCAAAGAGGCAGAGGGGAAAACAAACCAATGGGTACAAGACAATATCCTCCGACTCAGCCAAATGTTTGGAATGTCTTTTGATGGTTTATCTGGGGAAGCTTTGACCCTTCTGTTAAAAATTGACCAAAGAAGGGAAAAGGAAGGCTCCTTAGCCTCGAGTGCTACAGAACATAAGGACAAACAGATAATCCCTAAAGAGCTCAAAAATTTGATCTTTGATGTGAAGTTCAAGGATGGAGAACCTAGGAGTGAATCTAGAAGCGGTGGGAGAATTTATGCCACCCAGTTACAATGAATTTAAAAATTCTATCATGGAATGTTAGGAGTTTAAACATGGAGAGTAAAAGAAATTTGGTGAAAAGCAGAATACAACAAGAGGGGGTAGATATTATAGTTTTGATGGAGACAAAGCTAAATGGGGCAGTGGGGGATCATGTACAACAATTAGGGGGAATAGGTGGATGGGGGGAATATGGCTGGAAGCGATTGGCAGCAAGGATGGAATTTTAGTTATGTGGGACAAAAGATCATGGAAAGGGGAGATGGTGGAATATGGGAACCAATCAATTACTTGTAAATTATGTGGAGTTAATCAAGAATTAACTTGGTTCTCACAGCAGTCTATGCATCTTGTGATAGAAATGAAAGGATGGAGTTGTGGGAAGAATTAGGAGCTATAAGGAGTCAGTGTGAAGGGCCCTCAGTAGTAAGTAGGGATTTCAATACTACTAGGTTTCCCTCCGAGAAAACCAATTGTGTCAGGCTTTCTAAAGCCATGACAGATCTGTCCAGCTGTATCAACGAATTGGAGCTGATTGACCCCCCTTTATTTGGGGGATCAAACACTTGGAGAGGAGGGGCAAACCATAGGAATGCCTCCAGGATTGACAGATTTCTATACTCGTTCCCATGGGATGAAATGTTCCTTCAAATTAGGCAATGTACTCTGCCTAGCTTGGGGTCTGACCATAATCACATTGTCTTAACATGTGGGAATAAGGCCTTCAAGAGATCTTATTTCAAGTTTGAAAAGTGGTAGCTTAATGTAGAGGGTTTCAAAAGTAAAGTTCATGAATGGTGGAGCTCCTTTGAAGTGTCAGGAAGACCGGACTACAAACTAGCTACTAAGTTGAGGCTGCTTAAAACAAAACTGAAGGAATGGAGCAGAGAGAATAGGGGGAACTGGAAGGCAAGGAAGGAGCAAACTTTGCGTCAGATAGGGGACATGGAAGTTACTCAAGAGTCTAGATCTCTTACTGATGATGAACAGATACTAAAGGTACACTTGGCCATGGAATACGAGGAGGTGGCAAAAAATGAAGAAATTTTTGGAGACAGAGGTCCAGAATTCAGTGGAACAAGAATAGCGATAAAAATACGAAGTATTTCCACAGAATGGCAACAGCTCACAAGAGAATCAACACCATTGAGTCATTAATGATTAATGGAGAGTTATCTTCTGAGCCAGTGGAAATCAAGAACTCTATTGTGGATTTTTACCACCATTTGTATAAGGAGGTAGAAAACTGGAGACCCTCACTAAATATTCTTAATGTACAGAGAATAACAATGGAGGAGCAGAGCTGGTTATCTAGAGAATTCAGTGAGGATGAGGTGCTAGAAGGGATAAGACTGTGTGCTTGTGATAAAGACCTGGGCCTGATGGTTACACCATGGCCTTCTTTCAGGCATTCTGGGAAACTATAAAGGAAGATCTGTTCACTATTATGGAAACACCAAACTGAGTCCACTTTTCTCAAAACTTAATTTATCGAACATTGTATTTCTTCTCTGTATAGAGAATTTCTATTATAGCATTTATCGAACATTGTAATTCTTCTCTGTATAGACAATTTCTATTATATTAATTTGGTAAAGATCAAAAAGCTCTCACGTCCTTTTATCACTTGACACAAAAAAAAAATCAACTGTCCTTTTAAACATCATGGTAAGTCGTTGAAGGACTGTGTAAGTAACATAAGTGGAGAGAAGGCACATGCCTAATATGACAGCGTAAGAAAAGATCACTTTGAAGTGAACCTGCAACCTCTTCTAATAAACATATACAAAAGATGAGGTCCAAGGACTCCCTACCTTTCCATACAAGGTAGTACATGTGAACCCCAACCACCACTCCACACACTATCCTGCCTGTGAGACCATTAATAATGAGGTGGAGTAAGCCAGAGCAAGCATGCAATCTAGTAAGACCTCCACCAATAACCTTCACTATCCTTCTATTCCCCTTTACTTAATATCCATTTCACCTTAAACTACTATAATCACCAAAAGCATAGCCCTTGCGACTGCAAAAAGAAACGACCCTATCATTGATCCCTCGACTATTAAATTCCTCCGTCATATCTACTTTCCCATTTTTATTTGTTGCACACTGCCCAGAATAAACAGATACTCACAGTCTGCATGCAATCCAATCCGTATCGACATCAACAGACTATATTTCATGTTTCAATTCTTATTCACTAAGGCCCCTAAAGTTTAAATTCAAGTCTTGCATGAAACAATTATTTCAAAATGAATCTACTTCAAAACATATCTACACACAAAACTAGAACAAACTATTAAGTGTGTTCCTTCAGTTGATTCAACAGAGAAATGCACTAGGGTGTCAGGGTCAAACTGTTTCCCTATATGCACGGATATCAATGTATGCTTCAAATTATGTGTATTTGAGCATCCTTATATGTAAACTTGTCTGCATCTTACACCGATATGCATGTAATGCATCATTAAGAAGAAGATATACCATTAATGGAAAGAGTGACCATGCTGCCAACAATATTTTGAATTTTGAAGACAGTAATATGCTGTCCAAGAGTCTTTCTGGGATTAGTTGGAATAGACTCACAGCATTCCTTCAGCTTATCCAGAAGCTGTATCTTCTTATCAAGATCCAGAATGTGTACAAATATTTCAACATCAGAAGCAAAACAAGCCAAATGCCCATACCTGTGATCAAGGAGGAAAAACTCAAGGATAATATTAAGTTAATAGACGCTAACTACACACCATCCTACAATAAAGCAGAATACATCCCTGATTTCAAACAAATCAGCAATATGGAATAAGTATGACCAAAAGAGACTCTGCACAAAGTTATCATTCATCTCAACAGTTAAATAATTTCAAGAAGAACTTCAATGACAGAGCAGCAATCCAACTTCAACTCTACAATTCACAACTCAGATTAGTCTAAGCCGACATCCATGGTATAATGAATTCTAATACTACTCACCAAAATATCCTAAGGTAATGAAGCAGCTGTGCATAACAGTCTTCAAAAAAAATTATATTACCCTATCTTGAGTTTAAAGTTCAAATTAGGAAAGGAAAAGAAGGAATACTAGAAGAATGATAGAAGCTACCTGAAAAAATATTGTACCAAAGCCTCCACCAACTTATCCGCATCACCTTTTCCATGTAGAAGCTTTCTTCTTTCGATTTCAATATTCGCCAAGTAAGGACATCTTACAGTATCATTACTAGCTTCTGTTAACAATTTCCGTACAAGAGATGACGCATTTGATAGGCGAGAACCGAACTGCATTCAACAACTTACATGAGTCAGAAACTATCATAAAACTTGGAGATAATAAATTACTTAGAGATATTAGCAATTACTGCTTCATCTGTCAAGTGAGAAACTTGGGAGTCCATCAGCTTTAGAGGATAAGTAGAGTCATTGTTTTCCCCCTTACACAAGCTACTGTCATCCTCCAGTAAACAGCCAAGATAGTGGAGGAAACACTCCCAATCATCGGGGCTGCCAAAGAGTTTAGTGTTACACATACTTTTGTGATAAAACAGTGGTAAACAAGGACAAAATTACTTGATACTTGAACAGAAAAGAAGTAATATCATTTGGTTAGCACCTCCATTCATTTTGAAAGTAAGTTCGCATGCAATGCTAAAGCTTTCAAACTGACCTCGGTTCTTAAGAGACTAAGCATGTACCATGTGTTACAAAAGAACACACCAACGAATGCTAGTGAGAATCTAATATGTTGCACCAACACTGAAGAAGTCAGTCTGGTTTATATCTAAGGGAAATAACCTGCACTAAACCAGGTTTTGGTGTCTGGCGAAGGGGAAAACAATAGCAAAGCATCATTTGGTACTAAACTAAGATGTTCAGGTATAAAAAATACTTTTAATGGGTAATTGAAGAAAGAAATGCTATCCCAAGTTACTACCAATACAACATGGATGAGTTCATATTGCATATAGCAGTCCTCATTTTTTCTGTGAGGTTCAAAATGTTAACAATACTTTTGGGGGTGTGGTGCTGGTAGACTGGAATCGCAACTGCAGAATACCATCTTTTACACAACAAGACTTAACGAAAGACAACACATCCTCCTCCAGCTTAAATGAATCAAAATCATATCAATGAAGCAGAAATTTGGTGGTGGAGGAACTATTGGCCTTTCTGTACTTGAGTTACTCCAGTTCTTGCAATAGGCAAAGCAATCTTATGTATAAGGCTGAGATGTGCTGCCTCTCAAAGTTTTATAAGTACCCTTGCATATTTAATAGTTTTATAAGTTCCTCATCACAAAATAAATGTTAAGGGGATAACAACTACTCCCTCCGTCTCATTTTATATGTCATCCCTTTCTATAAATAGCTGGACCATAATACTTGTCATTTTATAAAATTTATGCACAAATTACCGTATTTTGCCTATTATACCCTTGATAGAATAGTTAATTAATCTTGTCATTTATTAATAAAATTGACTTAAGAAAACATTAAAAAAGAATAGAAGGGTAAAGTTACATCATTTCTTAATGCAAGTGCAAAGTAAAAAAGTGACATATAAAATGGGACGGAGAGAGTATATCTTTCATAATAGCGCTTGCTTTATAATTAGGGAAAAGGCATAAGTGCTCCCCGCCCCCCAAACCATGATCGGAAATCCACGGACACACTTTTTCTTTGCAGGTCCTATTTTTTATTTTTTTTTCTTTGCAGGTCCTATTACCTCCTAAGCTATTTTAAAATGGAATAATACCCCCCCCCCCCCCCCCGTGTTGATGTGGCATAGACAACCAAATGAGTATCCCTCTTGTGTATTACACGCGCTTCATATACTTTTTAGCATTAATTTTTTTTCTTCTTGTTTTTTCATTAAAGCCCACTTTCTCTTTCTTAATTTTTGAATCTTTTTTCTCTTTCCTAATTTCTAAATCTTTTATTCATTTCAACAGCAAATTTCCTCCGCCAAGAGGAGTCTCTTCCATTGGAGAGATTAGGGGCTTCAAAAGAGCAGGATCCTAGACCGGAGATGGCAATCAAAAGCCTCGAGCAACTCTTCTCGATTCAATTGTTTTGCTTCTATTTAGAGACTGACGGTGTAACAACAGAAATGCATTGATTTGTTTGTTGTTTGGCTGGATCGGCATGGTTCGTCGGTGGTATTTGGATGGAAGAGATGGAGGTGGTGTTTTCCGACTATGGCACAACGATTTAGCAGTAAAGTATGGTGGTTTTAAAGGGAGAAAACAGAGAAGATCTAGAGCTCTGTTTTTTCGATTTGGAATGATATGGTGGTTTCGCATGGTTTTGACGGCTGAAGAGGATGGAATCTAGTGGAGGATTGGTGGTTCAGGTCTCGGTGAACAGTGCCATTCCCTTGTGAAAATTATTCTTCCCCTGCCCTCTTCGATCATTCCCTTTTTCTTATTCTGTGAAATACAAAATCTCCCTCATTCCTTATTCTTGGAAACCACTCTGTTTATGATGGTAGTAATGAGAATTTTGGGGAAAGTGATTAAAAGAATCAATTTTTTTATATGTATTATTAGAGTGGAATTTATTTTTTTACACTTAATGTATGCTTTTTCAAGATTGAAATTTGGGGACTTTGACGTTTCTTGGGTTGTAGTGGTCATCGGAGGAAAAGGATTTAATATGGGGAAAAGAGGTTTAGAAGATCAAGCAGTCTAATTAATTAAATCTAATTGTCAGATTTACATATGTGTGTGCGTTAAAATCGTCTTAAGCTTTGTAGTTTGGTTGCTGATTTGAACATGGCATTGCAAACAGTGTTATACACACTTCTTTTTTCCTTTTTATGACAGTAAACTCTGGGCCAGCTAACCCTTGTAGAATCCACCAAACAGTTTACTATGGTTGAACAAACCCAAATGTAAGGTAATCATGTCCACAAAGACTGGAGAAAACTGGGTCCACACTGACTTTAAGGCACGTAATCCCTCCCAAGCCACAGCAACTAGGTTCATCCTAGTTTCGGTAAAAGGCATCTATGTTCAAATAATGTCTTTAAGAAAATTTACCAAGTCAAATTATCTTCTTTAATATCTCTCAGAATATCAGAAATCAATGCCACAAATCATTCAAGAAACTTCAATGTGGAACACCTACGAGAGCAGCATATACAAAATTCAAATGACTACAAGTAAACACACGAACAAACAATGAACATGAATCAATCAGCATTTTCAAATCACATACCTTAGTTCTAAAACTTTCTGGAATATGCTGGCTGCAGCAGCATAATCACCTCCTCTAGCAAGAAGCCTCCCCTGTCAACTTGAAGTCAAAGAATGCACATTTAAGGAACGAAAACAATGTTCCCCAGAAAATAAAGGAGAGTACCCTAGGACTAATATGCCACTGAAATGAAATGAATATCCATTTACAGAAAAACAAATTGCTATGCTTTCAAGACACCTCTCACCTAGAGTCTGACACCAAAAGCAAAAGTTATCTACATTGAGGATTAACATATCGATGAAAAATGCTATTCATACTTTATTTTATTTCCATAAGTAAGGATGCTATTCACAAAAACCTTACACAAATTTGTCCTCGTTGTTCAGCATTCAACCATCAATGATCCAAGTAGCAATCATGAATCCTAAATATGCAGTTGGGACTTCTGTTTCAACCAGAACTCTCTATCTCATTTTATACAATAGAGGGTCAACCAAGTTTTATGACTACAACTTCCCCAAACTTCTTCCAAAGTATGTTTGATATTTACAATCTAGGTTCAAAGTTACCATGTTAAAAAAAAATTGCGACTCTAGGTTTATTTTGGACTTTTTTCATACTTCTTTAATATATTGACTTTATTATAAAATGATGGGATTGTTATCTGAAATAATCCCTGATAATAGATGCTTTGACATTTGTAGAAAGGCACAATTAGCGAGAGAACTGCACACTCCTGAACCCAAGGTTGCACCCATTCAACACGAGAACCTAGTTCCAACTTTTTTATAACCCAAGAAATCCTCAAGAGTCAGTGGCGCATGGTTCGAAACTCGGTAGACAATTGGCCTCACCAGGCTTTTGTCTGTGGCAGAATTCGAACCCATGACATGCCCTAACCCTAACCTACACAGCAGTTGTTGCGCTCTTACAACTCTATCTAACCCCGAGGGCAAAGGAATATCCTCAAATGTAAAGGAACTCGTCCTTCCTCTTTCAAATTTACTAGTCATTGTTACGACTAGTTAACTTAATCAATGACCAACAAATGAAAGAGCAGAAAAAGGCAGGCAGTACCTGTAAACGTAGTCTATCAACTTCGGTCATTATAAGAGACCCAAATTTTCCGGTAAGAAGTTCCAAGGCATCTCCATATTTAGATTGTTGCTCTAATAAGGAAACATACACAATAAGAGCTGTATAAAAGCATGAAATGTTTCAGTAGATAGAACAAGGTTCAAGCATAAGAGAGCACCAAGCCTGATTACTCATGAGTTATGGGAGAACAAACAAAAAGCACCTTCTGGTTCATGTAAACTATGAGAAGCAATGTGCTTCTTCAGCAGGCCTTCTGCTAAGAGTAATAGCTTCTCTCCTCCATTGCTGCAGAGAACCTATAACAAGATGGAAGGAATATGAGAAATTATCATTCATAAGGTTTAGTTGAACATCAGAAAGTTGCAATAAGATAAATCATTACATGTTTCAGGATTTATACACTAGAATAGGAAGATTTAGGGGATCAGGAACTGCCACATATACTTCAAAAGTATTTATGGTGAGCATGGATGCACTACAGTTCTACTACTTTTACTGAAGACCAACCAGCAAAATCAGAAAAAGGCACTACCAAGAGTACCTACCATGACAGAGAGCCATGTGTGGCAATCAACATGACAAGTCCATAGCCAAAAAGCAATAGAGGAAGGATGAGAGCAAGATATGAGCAAGGGTGTAGGGATCGAAAAGGGAGAAAGACCTGTGAAAGCACATGATTGGAATGAGTGATTTTTACTCTAAAGGTGTGTGACCTGACTTTGACATAGTCATCCTCCAATCATGAAAAATATTTCACAAACACTGCTAGAGTTAACAAAAAGTTGCTTATTTTTTTCTCCTGCATAACTTCAGAAGGGGCCTCAAACTCAGACAACAATAGCTCTGACATGGAATACCGCATCTATGATATTTTGATTAAATAGGAATGCAGCACATATGATGAAGTACCCATGCATGCATACAAGACAGATATCTTCCCAATCGGAGCTGTTTTTTTCTTAATAAAAGCACCATCTCTGCTCCCCCTCGAATAATATTACTTGAGAGCACCATCAGGTCATTTGGTTCAAGGAATTAAGCCAAGTTAATCTATATCTATATTGTATTTAAAGCACAAAACCCTTTAGCAAAATGTGTTCACTTTATTTACCCATTTAAAAATAGTATTTTACGGTGGAAATATAGGCTTATGCCAGCTGGATATTGTGGAGAGTTGACAAATCCATCAGAAAGATCTGGAGAATGATCCCAGCAGCCATATTTTGGAGCCTATGGAAGGAGAGAAACAGCAGATGTTTTAATGGAATATCAACCTCTTTCTGCACTCTTAAAGCCCCATGTCTAGTTAGTTTATTTGGCTGGCCCTTTTTTGCCACAGTGTAAACAGTGTGGATATCTTTTTGGATTTTGTTAGTTCCCTATCTCTAGTACAGTAGAGTAGTAGGGTTCCCTTTTGACTGTTTCACAGGTTTTTGCCAAGCTAGCTCCATATATTTCTGTTTGGGGCAGATTTCTTGCACACTGTGTTTTTGTAACTTTGCATCTTAGGTCACGGGTTCATGCCCCACACCACACAAAGCGAAGCCCAGTATTTAAGTGGAGAAGAGAAGAGGGGCGGGCCCATTATCCACCGAGTTTAGAAGGCTGTAATTGGTCCAAAGGGCGGGTCACAAACAGATTTCTCCGTCGTCAAAAAAAAAAAAAAAAACTTTGAATCTTCTTGATGCTTTCTGTTGAAGTATGTGACAATCTCATCTAAAAGCTTAAGCTGTTAGAGAGCACACTTTTATTATTTATTTATATTCTCAACACGCCCCTCACATGCGGACCTGATTTTTTTTCATGGGCCAAACACGTGGAAATTCTTTTTAATTTTGGGTGGCGGGGAGATTCGATCTCAATACCTCTGCCAGCTCTGATATCATGTTGAAGTGTGTGACCATCTCATAAAAAAGCTTAAGTTGTTAGAGAGAGCACACTTTTATTATTTATTTATATTCTCAACACTTTCTAATATCATTTAATTACTTTACCAAAAGAAAAATATAGTCATTTCATTATTTTACTAATATTAGGACTTTGAGATCAACAAAAAATTTACAGTCCTTTGATTTCCTTACTTAAACTACCTAAAAATAGATTTGAATTTGAAGAACTATTTTGTGTAGGACATTATTTGGGTTTTTCATGGAAGGTGTCCCTTGAAAGCAATTTTTCTGAGTTTAAAAATCATATTGCCAAGATGATTCACACTTTCAGTGAAGGGTCTTTGGCCTCACGATCCACTTGTGTGTCAACCTTAGATGCCTTTTTAAATTGACGGAATTGAACGGTGCCATATTTTTCTGAATGCGATTCTAATTTTCTACTTTTGGGAAATGAAATTTTATTTCTTGACCTATTTATGAACTGTTTCTCAACTAATCAAATTCTCTTTTGTTCACCTGCGAGTCTTGCCAATTGATTGTTGTTTTCTCATTGAGCCAATATTTTTTGCTTGTAATCCAAACACAAGCATATGTTAGGTAAACTTTTACCTTTTATGTTCTCTTAATTACCTTGTATATACATTATAGGCCTATTCTTTATGTACTTTATTAGGCATAGTTATACATAGATGCTCTATAGTATTTACATGATTTATGTGAATACTCCAAATATGTCCATATAGTTCTGATGATCTGTTTTTTTATGCAGTAAATAATTCTATTAACATTTGGGGAAACCCCGTATACAAGTCAAATACAAAAAAGAAGAGAACCTACACCAAAATATGGTTCTCACCAAAAGAAATTCAATCCTCTATTTAAATTGGGACCTTGTAAGTACACCACAAAGCAACTAAGGACAAAATACTACACTGCAATTTTACATTCCATTCCTTCAAAGGCCCTCCTATTTCTCTCTTTCCAAAAGGCCCACGTGATTATGAAGGGTGCAACGCACCAAGCCCTCGGGCATCTCTTCCCTCTTTAATGAATCCAACCTTGCAAAGCCTCTTCACTGTACCTGGCATGACCCAATGCCTCCTAAACAAATTGAGGGCCATCCTTTATAACCGACTAGCCACCTTACAATGCAAAAGAAGATGATCTACACATCCGCCTACACTTTTACTTATGAAATGCCAATTGACATAGGTGATTCTTTCTCTTTCCCAGGTTCTCTATTATTTAGATCACACCCCTTACCGCCAACCATGCAAAGAAACAAACCTTCCTCGATGCTCTATGGATCCAAATGGGGTCGTGGGAAAAGTACCTTCCTTTCTCCCTAGCAAACACTTAAAAAATATTAATAGCGAATAATCACTACTCTCCCACTACCTCTATATATCTGATAAGTTGTTTGGTGTCTCTAGTCCGTACAAAAGATCTATCAAGTTATGAAATTCTCCAATCTTCCAATCTTGAAGGTTCCTAGTGAATAGCACCCCATGAGACCTACAAATTTGTTTGACTTTCATCCCTCTAGCATGAACAGCGATATAAGTTAGGGAAGGCGTCCTTCAACTCGATCTCTCTGCACCACTTATGTGCCCAACAACTAATCATATGCTTATGTCCCCAACCTTAAAAGAGATATGTCTACAAAAATTTCCAACCCATTCATGATACTCCCCCACAAACCACACCCAAAAAGAGTTACAATGTTTCTAGTCCTTCGTCCAGCATCTACTGTTCCATATTTTTCCGCTACCAGGCCCCTCCAAAAAGCATTATCCTTCATCCCAAATCTATAGATCCACTTCCCCAACAGGGCTTTATTGAACACCTTGAGATCTTTAATGAGAACCCCATTCATTTGGAGATGTGACAACTCTCCAATTCACAAAGTGGAACTTCCTAATGCCTCTCGTTGAGTCTCATAGGAAGTTACGTTGAAGTCTTTACAATCTTTCAGTCACTTTGTTGGGGGCCTGCAGAAGTGACATAAAATATGGTATGAATGTTAGAAAGAGTGCTTTTGATCAAAACTTTCTTACCCCCTTCCGACATATAGCTCTTTTGCCATCCCTCTAGCCATTTCTCAACTCTCTCAATCACCATAGTTTACATTGCGAGATATTTATACTACCAATATTCAAAAAGGGGTATAAAACTGATTGTTATCATAGAATGTTTGCCATGAATACTCACGATGTTCTCCCCCTCACGTATGAGATTTAAGGACATCTGTTGTACATGTTATTTTTCCTGCAACATACCTTTCTTTTATAGACATGGTGAGAAATATAGGAGAAAAATATTATTGACTTAGGTATCTACAATATTACATTAAGACCCTATTTATAGAAACTAAATTAGACTCCTTTTCCAACTAGGACACTACAATACAATCTTTTTCTAAGTAAGATTCTATATACTATTTTCAATTTCTATTCCTATTCTAAGTAGGGTTGTATATATTATTCTTGTTCCTATTTCTATTCTTAACACTCCTTCTCAAGCTGGTGCATAGAATTCATATATACCTGGCTTGTTACAAATGTAATTACTGCAAGGACCGATGAGGGGTTTGGTGAGATATTTGCAAGTTGATCACTTGACTTCACAAAATTGACAATCAATCTCAATGTGCTTAGTCTTCTCATAAAATACTGAATTTGATGCATAATGTCGTTAAAACACAGAGTGATAAATTCCTGAATTATAGTGTTGAACTTTCAAACCAAACTTGAGAAGATTGTTTCAAACCATAGCGTGACCTTACGTAATCCACATACAAGGCTACTAAACTCCCCTGAGAAACAAAATTAGGTGGTTGCATCAAGTATGGTATGTCATATTTTCTTGTTATGCTTCTCCACGTTCCAACAACACTAGTTGATCAGGCAGTCTTCGCAATGAATGGCATGATAGGGTGAATTCCATAAAGACTATGAGACATGTTCTAGACATCTCTTCCATAGGACAATGCAAGGAAAGATGATTACATCCTCCAAACTAGACTATAAAGCATCGATTTCTCCATGCAAGGCTCATTTCATGAGATTATACTGCATGAGGAAACATATCACTGCAACAACGTGCATTGTATAATCCTGTAAAGTGGGGTTTGCGGAGGCAAGAGCGTATGCAGACCTATTCTTACCTCAGAAGTAGCAAGGTTGTCTCCAATAGACACTTGGCTCAAAGGAGGCAACACATCACTTTTGGAGGAAATTTAGTTAGCCCCGTTTAATAAGACTATCTTGTGTGAGGCAAGCTTTACGTCGTACTATCCATCATTACTTCGTCTATATCTCAAACCTTGCGAATGAATACCTTTTACATTGCATCCCCATTCACCATGTCCTCTATTTGTGCATTCAAATAAATTTTCTCCAACGTATGTATTAGCGTCAATAGTTCTTCTATATCCCATTCTTGACAATTAATTATACTCCACATGCGACCACTTTATTGCTAATGAGGTCGTAAATTGAAAAACAATTGTCCGTAAAGTGCGACTTAGGTTTTAGATTTTGGGTAGTAGTAACAAACTTAGGCAATTACATCCATCGTCTCAATGTTGCAATGAAATTCATCATCTAAATGCTTTTTATGCTCATTACGAAAGCTCTAAGATAATTGTTGGAGATTTCTATCCAAGGTTGATTATTGAGGGGGTTTGACATAACGAGTTAGACTGATGAAGAAATTTCAACTCCGCACCTCTTATTTGTGAATGATAATGTGACTCTTCGTGAATCTCAATAACAATAGGTAAAGAGTGTTGTTTAGTATCTTGATTTGGTTCGAGGAAAAATATTTGGGAACTAATGCTAAACTGAGAAGTACAAAATATATGTTGTCTAGCACGAGATGATGGATGTTGAGCTTCCGACCAAACATTTGGTTCTACCTTTAGGATAAAGATTCAGGGATGAGGAGTGTTGACGACAAGCGTCAATTTTGGAATAACATTATTGGGATAGAAGAATCAATATTCTCAAAAATTGATAAAGTCAAACTTGTTAAGCATCTTAAATACTTATTTCATTCTTCTTAAAATCAGCAGTGAAATTCATCTGCTAGAAAACTTGATCCCGATACGTAACATTGCGAGGCAATCCAACTTGAATGAGTGAAAATGATGATTTTTCCACATTTTCACAAATCATTCAACTTTGCGTTTGTGAGCTTTGCAAAGCATAGCTGATCACAATACTCAATAAAAGGAAGAACTATGCGGTAGACTGACCACCAACGTAAAAAAAAAACACCTGCATAGAGCAGAATGACTATGAAGACCATACCTAATTAGGTATTAGTTGATTTCTTGATAGACTTGCTTCAGCATAGGATTAGAATTAGTTTTTGACCTAAAGTAAACTTAAAAAGGAAGACTAGAAAACAAATAGAAGCAAGACCTGAATTATGTTTGTGGTGGTGGAGCAAAAGTAATGAAAAAGAAGTGAAGAGAGAACCTGCAATTGAATGCTGCACACTGCCCAAAGTAGGAACCTTTCTTCAGCAGCAATCTTGTACATTTTAATAGCTATCTACAAAGGATTAAGGAAATGAAATGTGAGGTTGAGTTACAAAATGTAAAAAATTGTAGTTGATAATTGTGGTGCCAACCTGTTGTTGCTTGACAAAGGAATATTGACGCACATAGCAGTTGAAGAGACCCATCATTAGATCCAAGTTATTTGGAAATTTGGCGTAAGCATACTCGTAGCAACTTGTGGCCATATCCACTGTGAAGATAGAAAAGAAAATTTTAAAAATATTAATGAGTGAGGATTTGAGTGGAAAGGGAGAAAAAATAGAGTACTGACAGTGATCAAGTCGTTGGAAGACAATCTGTAGAGTGCTGAGAGTAAGATCATCAATCAAGAGAGAGTCATTAGTGTACAAAAGGTCTTTGGCATTTAAGGAAACCGAAAATGCTTCTTCAGATTTACCCATCCTTTCCAAAACCAAAGCTTTAAGTGCCAGAGCATATGGAGAATTGGGGTATTTGGAAAGAAGAGTGGTGCAGTGCTTCAGAGCATTCTTGAACTGCCGAGAATCAATGGCATCCCAGATGGGTCGAACTCTACGCTCCGGTATTCCACCCGCTAAACCCAACTTTGACGCCATTCCACAAATTCAATTCTCACTTCTCAATTCTCAATTCTGATGGATGGTTTTATCGTCCTATTTTAACCAATTTCAGTGTCGGCTACACCAGAAAACCTAATCCATCCTTATTTTTATATTTTTTTTCTTCCTTAAATAAAAGGATATTATATACCAAAAATGTCACTCAACTATTTGTATCGACACAAAACTATCCTTCATCCACTTTTGGGCCTCCAATATTATTTTTTTGGCTCAAAAATACCCTCGCATTGTATACTCATTAGCTGAATGGAGGGCAATATTGGGCCTCCAATATTATTAGAGCGAAGGACATATATGCTCTAGTTTTTTGACGGCAAGGACATCAATGTTCTAAAAGTATGACAAAAGGTATTTGCATACCATTTACGATAGTTCGGGGGTATATTTGTCCTTTTTCCCTAATTTAAAAGCATTTTAGGCTCTTTTTCATTAAAATAATTTGAAATTATTTAATATATATATTCACATGATTGACTTAATTTTGAATTTCATAGTAAATTAAAAATAAAAAAAAAAGTTAGGCATCTACTCTCTATACTCCTCCCCTCCCCCATCACTTCCTATCTCTTCTATTTTTTTTCTATTTGGATCTTGTCCACCATTTTAAATTATTATTTTTTCAATTTATGAACACAAGAGAGAGAAAATAACGATGCATTCATATAGAAATAATTAGTTCAATAAAAGATTACTTAATTAATTAAATATGTACCAATATTGCATTTTTTTTTGTGTATCCAAAATTCAAAATAAAAGAATAAAAATATTTGTTTCTCTTATCTTTGCCCTCATCCCGCCATAACAATAATATAAATTAAAAGAATATAAACATGTAAGTTCATTTTAAATTTGAGTCTCGAATATCCTAATTAACAATAAGAGATTAAAAAAAAGAATAAAAGAGAGAATGACCAAGACATTTGGATAATTGATTTAAAAATATTATATTAATAAAAATAATAATATTTTTTAGATGGACAATCAATTGGTGTGAGTATGGGTTTTAGTTGGATCCCCATTTATGACTTGGGTTACGTTATAATAAATTGGGGTTGATTTAAAATAGGTCAATAGGAAGATATCATGAAATTAAAAAAATCAATATTATTTTCAAGTGTATTGAGTCAAAATATGAATCATGTGTGGTTTTATATAAAAAAAAAAATATGATTTTTATTATTTATTTGAGAAGGTTTAAATTTTGACCAAGCACATTAAGTAAGTTAATAAATAAACATTTAATAATTTTACTTTAAGGGAGCTATTAAAAATAAGACAAATATGAGCCAAATGATTAACATCGAGGGTACTTGAGCCAAAAGGTGGACACCAGGGATATTTTAATTCAATTATTGGAAATGGATCAGATATACCCTCCGTTTGGTTTTGGGGTCAAAAGTGACCTTTGGTGTATTGGCTCATCTTTACCCCTCAAAACAAACAGCTACCATGTCACTTTAAAAATCACATAAAACAAATTTATTTTTGCTAACTTGGAAATTCAATTTTTATTTTTTTTAAAATATAAATCTAAAACATAATTTGCCATCTTCATTATTCCACCTCTTTCTCTTTAATTCCTCATTGTGAAGAATTGAAATCACTTAAAACAATCAAATAGATAAAATTGTGAAAGGATTTTGACTTATGGAGTACTCCCCCTAGGTTACATTTCATATAGCAGTAATTTGATCGGATATGGACATATTGTGTTTGATGAGATGATGTGGTTGGGATAGCTCCTACGATCAAATCTTTCATATTACTCATATCAGTCTACTCAAGAAATAGTAACGTGTCAAAATGTGAAGAAATCGTATATCAAATGTAGAAATTAAGAGTGAAATGGGATTTATGCACCCCGGGGTTATTCATGCTATTGTCAATTCCTTGATCTCCCTCCAAGTTGTGAGGACCTCATCAGTTCTAAGTCGTTAAGTGAACGTTGATTCCTCCATTGGAATTGATGCACCATTCGCATACTCAAGTGGACCAGTATAAGCAAATAAGCAATCATTACTTCATTGTAAACACAATACATGTTGTCAGTTGCAAACAATCCCATTTTGACTCTGATTTCCTATAGTCATTTGATTCAATATCATCCAAGTTATCCATTTGATTGTTTTATGTGATTTCAACTCAGAGTAGGCACCAAAGTTATGCAGATTGGAGGAGCCGACCTTTGAGACTCTCTGTTGGTGATTGGGTATTCCTCTGTGTGTCACCCATAAAGGGCGTGATGAGGTTTGGGAGGCGGGGCAAGCTTAGCCCCAGGTACATTGGGCCTTTTGAGATACTCCGGACAGTTGTGGAGGTTGCTTATGAGTTGGCCCTACCTCCAGCATTTTCAGCCATCCACCTGATTTTCCATATCTCGATGTTGTGCCAGTATGTTCATGATGAGTCCCATGTGCTCCAGTATGATGCAGTCGAGTTGGATGACCGTTTGACATTTGTAGAGGAGCTAATTGCCATTCTAGCTAGTGATGTGAAGAAGTTGTGCTCGAGAGCCATTCCTGTTGTTAAGGTCCATTGGAGACATCGTCTAGTCGAGGAGGCTACCTGGGAGACCAAGCAGGAGATGCGAGAGCAGTTTCCCGGCTTGTTTGAGCCTTCAGTACTTCTTGACCCTTACTTTCGGGGGAAAAAAGGCCTTTTTAGTAGTGGATATTGTAATGACCCTCCTGGTCATTTCTATGTTTTGCCTTTGGTGTGTCATTTAGAGTGTTCCTATAGCGACCCCAAGTCATTTATGACTTGCTGGGATTGACAGTTCGGTCACCTGGTCGTTTGTGTGACTTTTGTGCGAGTTTTAGTGTTTTTGGAGCTTATGAACCTTGAACGATCGTTTTCGATCAAAAGTTCAAGAAGATGACATCAGAATCCAATTTTGACGATTCCATTAGCTCCGGAAGGGTCATTTTAGGCTAGTATCATGGTCAGCATGACTCCCGAGGTTTTCAGTATGAGTCGGTGCGATTAGGCGTTTCAACTTTAAGTTTAAGCCTAAGTTTGACTTTAGTCAACATTCTGAGTAAATACACTCGGATGAGAATTCCGTCAGCATGGTTAGTTCAGGAATGTCGAGTTTGGTCTAGATTGACCCCTCTTTTGTGTCCCGAGGTTTCTGATATTTTTTCGAGCCCTTGTGTGGTTTTTTACTTAAAATAACATTTGAGTGTGAGATCCACTTTTTGTCAAGATGACCTCTTATGGAAATTTTGATTGCGCCATTGAGTCCGGAATATCAAATTTGGTACGATTGTATATCTCGTTTGTGTGCATGGGGTTCCAAACGAGTTCGGAGCACCCCGTCGGAGTTTTAAGTTTTGGAAAGAAATTGCAGAAAAATCTGCTATAAATGCAAAAAATATAAGCAACCCTTTCCAAACTTAAAACACTCATAACTCTCTCATCTCTCAACCAAATTAGGCGATTCGAAATTCGGGAGCTTCGTATTTTCGGTTGCTTAACTGTAGAGTGTTTGGAAGTTGTTGGGTGCGCGTCGTTCGAGGTAAATTTGGTTATAAACCTGACTGTTAGGCCCTTTTTCGAGCTTTTATTTTTGGCATCCTTATTTTGGTCATATCTCACTGATTTTAACTCGGTTTTGGGTGATTCGAAGTCCCACATGTTGGGAATTGTCGTGGCTTTGTCGTAGAGTGTTCAAGAAGTGCTGGGCACCTTTCGATTCTCGTAACATTCAAGTTTAGACCGCTGTATGTTTTCTTTTAAGTTGATTAAAATTTGATTTTTCATTTCATGTTGGGTTTTACTGCGTTTTGAGCCAGGAATTGTGTTCCATTTTGGAACACAAGTTCGGGGTACTATTTTGGGTCTCTTGACAAAGTCAAATCCGAATAGTTCGGTGCGGGTCCCACGATTCACGTTTTTACTCCAAATTTGAACCGTCTCCGTTTGTTGTGATTTTGGTGTCTAAACGACCGTACTAACGTTGTGACCCTATATTCGATAGAGTGGCAGTGTTCAAGGGTCGTTCGGGACGGAAAAACTCTGGCAAATTGATTTGTAGCGTGCGCAGTCGGCCTTAAGGTAGGCTACAACTTCCTTTCTTTTAGATTGAGCTTAATTGTGTAAAAACATGTCGATTGGAGTGAATTGGGGTGGGTACCAGTTTCCTACTTTACTTTGATTAGATACCTTATGTTAGGATCGATTGGCCATATTTCGGGTGTAGTATCATGTTAACCGGTTTAGTAGAGTTGCATGCTTATGTGCTAAATGTTATTGTATGCTTGTATGCTATGCGTTGTATGCCTTGTTTATCCTTAACCGTAAGCATGATGTCCTTAGTCTAGGTTAGGCTAGCATTGTCTTAGACTTATGACCCGTGTGGGTTGGATAGCCTTGACTTTCTATCGACGTCGTTCGAATGACTTAGCTTCTTGTAGACTGGAGTAGCAGACTTGAGTCTGATAGTTTGAGCCTTAAATTAGGCGTTATCGCTGCTTGCTGCACTTTTGTATCTTTTCCCTCTAGTCCCAACGTGTTCTCGAAGGTTTGGTGCATCACTAAAGGTGAGGGATTGAGATAGTATAGACTTGGAGCCTTTTCTCTGATTTCTTAGAGTGGACGACGTTCCATGGTGGCTGTTGTTGGATTGGATCATATTAGAGATACCATCACCCCCGGGGTCGTTCTTTCTAGCTGGGCTGGGAGTGTATCGCTGGCTGGGTTGACTCGGTGATATCGGCGATCGCCCCCGGACCTCTCTTTCTAGCTGGGCTAGGAGTGTGCTGTTGGCTGGGTGTCCCCGAGTCGCTCTTTCTAGTTGGGTTGAAAGCTGACTGCATAGTAGGACGACTCGCGATATGTACCTCACTCACGGGTCCCTCTTTCTAGCTGGGCTGAGAGTGGACTGTTTGGTTGGGTGCCCCCTAGGGTCACTCTTTCTAGCTGGGCTGGGAGTGCACTGCTGGCTTGGTGGAGTCTGATGGATTATCTTGGTTACTTTGGGCTGGGAGCCCGGTTTTCTTCTTTCTCATTAGACTTAGTTATTTTGTGTTCCTGTTGGGCTTATGGGGGTCTGTTCAGGTTTATTTAAACTTGCGCACGAGTGTACCTTTTGGGCTTATGGGGGTCCAGTTCGGTTTAGTTTAGTTGTACTTAGTTTATTTCTGGTATGCTCGTATGCTTTCTTTTCATATCCGTTTTGACCTTTCTGTGTCTAGATTCTATCCTTTCTTATTGTTTTTACCCTTTTTGTTCAGTCGGCCTGTGATGCCTACTGAGTACCTATTGTTTTGGTACTCATGCTACACTCTGCATCTACTTCGTGATGCAGGTCCAATACCAGTTACCAGCGGTGATTAGTTCCAGCCTTCTTTTGCAGTTGTGATTCAGAGACAAGGGCGAGCACTTGGCGTTTTGGGTTTGTCTTGTCTTCTTTTTTTGTTTTAACTAGTCTTTTTGCCTGTGAGACACGCTTTGTTGTGGTCCACTTTTGAGACTTGTACTCTTTATTAGATAGCTCTGTACTAGTGACTTCCAGGTTCTGGGAGGTATTTTTGTAAATATTTATTTTGATTTGCTTCCGCCTTGTTGTCCTTGTTTAGATTATTGTTTCGCTAGTTTCTGCCCTTTTGCTCATTTCTTGATGTTCTGGGTTACGGGTTGGCTTTCCTACTGGTAGGGCATAGTAGGTGCCATCATGACTCGAGAAATCAGGTCGTGACACCATATATCCCATGATATGAAAATTTAGGTTATCCATAACCTATCAAATTGAAGGTATTTGAGTCTAGCTTTCAATGTATCGAACCATTTGTCAATCCAATATTTATACACGAAGTTATGCTCATTTTATTAGACACTATCTTGTTGTGTGCAAGCCACGCGCCAGGTGCGTGATAGCGCTCAGAGGCTACTATTTTTTTGTGCGCCTAAGACGCTATTTATGTCAGTTGACAAAAGAAGGTTAAAAAAATTTTGAAAATGGGAAAAGGTGAATTGGAAGCAAGCTCTAGTCATGGTCTATACATTTGTAGTTTGGCTTTATGATTTATAATCAGAAGTAAAACTCTTCGCGCTATAGTTTGTCAAAAGTCATTTGGTTTAATTGATTTTGAGACTAGCTTGATAATTTGTTTTGGTTGTGATGCCTTATGCGGTAAAGCTTTGATTCATTCTTGTATATGCTTGTTGTCTAGAACTTGCTCCAAACTGTATTTCAAGGCGAAATTCTAGATATGAGTTGGCTTGAAAGATGAATCCGTACCCTTTTTGATTAGCATCTCTACCCCAAATTTTTCCCTCCATTGATGTAATCTTAGTCATCCCCATTGAGCCTGAACCGAATTTTTTGGCCACCATGATATATACCTTGACCGTTTACAATCCTATGTTTTCGGCACCCTCATGTCTCCCTAGTTGTTAATGATTTGTGATGTAGGCTAAAAAACCTAAGTTTGGGGGAGAAAAAGTGAACGAGTCGTGTGTAGGCAAAAGCCTAAGTTTGGGGGCTTCTGCACCAATAAAACAAAGAGGAGAGCTAAACGCATAGAGCATCATAAGCTTCAAAATTAGATGTTCTGAAATGAGTTCATGGATGAAAGAAATTAAAGAAGGAAAACAACAAAATTGTTGGTATTAGCTCAAAGTGTGCACATGCCTTTGGTGAAAAGAAAAATGGGTATTTGAAATGAGTAAACATCCTGAGAAGCGAGAAATAAGGTGGAAGTGACCAAATTATACCATACCTTTTGCCAAAGCCTAACTTAAACCTGAGCCTTGTCAATCTATATTAGTGGCGATCTACATATAGAGCAAGCCTATGGTTTAATGTGTTTATATTTGAGTTGCAACTGGGAAGATCTGTAGCATTTTTAACCAGTATAATAGCTCACAGTTAGTAGAACCACTACCACTGGATGTGGAAATTATGGGCGGGGACTTTCAGAAGTAAATAAACTAGTACATACACATTAGCATGTCAACTGATTTATCCAAGAGCGGAGTAAGCTTCACCATCGCCATTAATAAAGATGAGACAGTTTGCCAAAATCTAAATACAAACAGAGGTGTGTTCACAACATACAACCTAAATGATGCCTCAAATTGGTTCTTTACTGATTTTTTAAATCTTTACCAATCTGAAACATCATAAAACAGACATTTAAAAAGTTAAAACAGAGACCACCATCTCCTGCCATTGTTATTAACCTGCTGAGAGGGCAAAGGCTGATTAGTACGTCTCCCTTGTGAACAGAATATAGGGAGACTAAGGCTCCTCTCCATCAACGGGTTTCCTAACCAGAACATCAGAAGGACTCCAACAACAGGAGCAGCAGCTGCAAGAAACCATCTTCCTCGTGCACCCTCACTACTAGATTGTTGATTGACAGCCTCATTATGGATCACTTCTCCTGATTCTGTTCTACTGTAACCAAATTCATCATTTTCACTGTCACTGCTATCTGGAGATCCATCTTCATTTATTTCATGCTGTGGGTTTCGATGTATCACCAAATTACTGGCCCTTTGCTTTCTGTGCTCATAATCCAGGTCATCAGTTGGAAGTTCATAGCGGCAGAGAGGGCACGAGTTTCTTGACGCTAGCCAAGGAAAAATACAGGAGGGGTGATACAAGTGAGAACAAGGAAGTCGGTTTACAACTGTGCCAACAAAAAGAGAATCCTTGCAGATTGCACAAGACAAACTGTCCAGCTGTTCGTGGTCTTCTTTAACAACCAAACACGGCAGATCATTTAAAACAGAGACAGCTGTAGGTGGTGCTCCTCTTCTTAAACCATCTGTTTCAGCGAGATGCTCCTCAAAAGTTGTAGCATCAAGATAGTCAGTAGCATCAGTCTGTTGGAATTGTTCTAACTCATGTGAGTGGTCAGTAACAAGTCTTTGACTGCCCTCGGGAATTCTGAAATGAACTGTACCCAGATATTCAGAAGAAAGAAATTGTCCTTGCCAATTTCCAGGATTTAGGTGTAATGACCTTGGTAGTTGAGCTCTAGCACCCACAGAGTGTAGTGCATCAGTATCAACCTCCTCCCATTCATTATCAGAGTTCCAATTATAGATACCAGCATGCATGGGGTCAATATCAGTATCAGTATCAGTCTCAAAGTCACTCCCTTCATCTGAGTGAGAAGAATGATCATTATCAAGGTAACTATTACCATCAACAGAAGCATCAGAGTTCCCTCCATAAGAGATGGAGTCAATTTCACTATTAAAGTTCCTATATCCACTGATGGTGACATTTGATTCAGTCTCCCCAAAGAGAGAATCAACACCATCACCTTCGGCGTCGGAATGAACCCTCCTCCACCTCCTAGACTCACTTGGAGTGGTCCGGGAACTGGTGTACAACCTTTGATAATCTCGCATGGGTGTCCCAAGATCCTCCAGGAGTAAGAATTTACAATCACCACATATATTTATAGCTTCAAAGTCAGCAGCATCATTATCTGATATGAACAATCTATGACATAAAGCACATGAAGGAGAGAATCCAGTTTGGGCAATAGCCAAATTGTTAGTCATGTGGCCAAGCAGAGACAATTCTGGTGAAACAGAATGTGAGTTTGCATCCATCTGCATACAAATAGGAATTAAAGAAACAGATGAATATTCAGCAACTGAAACATACACAAAAGGAAAAAGCAAGTGGGAAGAGGAATGAGTTAGACATTTGTGGTGATTGAGAAATGAAAACAGCATGTACATGGTTCAACAACAATGATTGGCACCCCTATTCTTTACGAAGCTAAAATGACATTGACTTGCCATCCCATCACAGCTCAAAATGTAGAAGAGATATATGTATGATTAAGTTGAGACACAAACTAAAGAAAAACAACCAACAAGCATGTGAATTGAAAAGGGCGGAGTGCATCGCATGATGTAATGCATAATGTGAGTGTTTTGGGAAGTTGAAGGTTGAGGCTGGAACTCTTCAACAAATGTTTTTCAACTCTGTTTGAACTTTTTTGTTTATAAAAAGAAGATATCCTAGGCGCAATAGAAAAGGGCAAAATATAGTAGTTATGGAAACATAATCAAGTTGTTAGAGATAATAATTGGCAAAGTTGCAAGTTGTGGGAGATTGATTTATTAAAATACAAGCCAGAGTAATTAATTCTTGAGGATTAAGGCCCTCATTTTTTTGATTAATAATAATAGCAGAAAGAAAGAAATGATTAGATTAGATAGAGAGCGGGATCGTGAAATGTGTGTGACTGAGAAAAGGAATTAATAGAACAATAATTATGAGATTATTAAGCAGTAAGTAGATAATTAAAATTAGAAAAAAGGAAATTAGGGCTTACCCAGAAGAGAAGCAGAGATAGAAAACGAAGGTGGAGATGGAGGAGGGAGGAGGAGGGTTCCGCATGAGATGAGATTTGGTCAATCACCAAATACTAAAATGTTTTCCGACAACCTTTTATTTATTTATTTATTTATTTTAAGGATGGGCTGTGTATGTGTATGTGTGTGGATGACATGAAAACCACTATTCATGTACAATAAACCATCACCACTCTTCTTTCTTGGGGTTGGGAACCTAAATAAACCACAAAAATATAAAAGTGACCAAAATAAGTCATTACTTTAGTAAGTAACTAAAATAAGTTTGTGGAAGAAAAAATTCCACTTTATCTAATATTCTAAACGTTTTCCGTTAGTCTCATAACGTGTATATTTTTAATATAAAACGGAACTATTTTCTACACTTTATAAAATGGAACTATTTCTTACACTTTATAAAGTGTAAGTTTTTCTTACACTTTGTAAAGTGAAACTTTTTTTTACACTTTGTAAAGTGGAACTTTTTCTTACACTTTATAAAAAGTTACTTTACTTTTTCACTTTCTTCTTCTCCCCTTTCACTTTCTTCTTCTCCCCTTTCACTTTCATGGCTTCCAAACTTACACTTTGAAGATTAATAGTTGATGGTCCAATCCGACAACTGAAGCGGCCCTACACTAAAAAATCAAAATCTTGAAAGATTGGAGTACAACATAACATTCCGACCCTACAAATTATATAAATTAGGTATTTTTTTTCATCTCATACTTTCATTACTTTAAAATGATGTTGTAATTTGTTCAAAATTTCAAAAGTATAATAGATTAGATATAAGTTGGAACTTAGCTTCATTACCCATTTGCTACAAATTATACTACCAAAAGTATTAGACATTTACGTTTCTAGTCCCCTAAAATAAAAATCTGCTATAGGAACTTTTGCTGATGTACTTCAGGTACAAATATATGTTAACCAGACCAAAATAGATCAAGTTATGGAAAAAGAACTAGGGGGACGGGGAGAGAAAAAGCTTATAGACAATAAAAAGAGTAATTTTGCTAAGTGGAGAATATAGTTAAGTAATTACAAACCAATATTGCCAACTTTTGGATCATTATGCAATCATGTAATAAGATTTTCTTATGCTAAGCATAAACTAGAATGGTAAATACCTAAAAACAAGGTGATTAAGCGGAACTAATAAATTCGAGATTGGTATACAATTGAGAATACTTAAAGCAAATACACAATGACTTAAGCAAGGGAATACTCACCCATAAACCATAACAGGTTTAAGATTTTGTCCTAATTTGGCAACATGAGGTTCAAAGCAGTCCTGCATAGAAAGACATATGAGAATTAAGATTGGACAAGAACCTTGAATTAGGAAAAATTTAACACATTATACAAGGATAAGCTTTAGATATTCAGCTAATGAGAACAAAGGGATATGTTTTATATATTCAACTGATGAATGAATTTCTTAGAATGTGATTTTATACAAAAACAACAAGAGTAATGGAATGACAATTGAGGTCTAGGGAGGGTAGAATGTACGTAGATATTACACTTACCTCATGGAGTTAGAATGTGATTTTATAGTATATTTAAAATTGAATTATAATAGAAACTTTAGATATCAAGAGTTGTGGAATGAAAAAGAGGGAAGATGGAATATAAGTATTTTATACAAGAGCATTCACACCAATACAAAAATATAAAGTAAAAACTTGGTCAGTTGTGCATTCATCATAAAGACTTAGTTAAGACCATACCTCCAAATGCCACATTAGTAGTAGGAAACGTCAAAAGTGGAGGAAGCTTCAAAATCAAAATCACATTCAAAAAAGAAATATAAAAAAATATGAGATGGAAATAAAAATTGTCTATGTCACTACACCAAAAGAGACCTTTAGCGGCAATTGATTTTCCTTTTAGCGGCAATATTTAATGCCACAAATAAATTTACCGATATTTGATTAAATGCCATTGGATCCAATGTCGCTAAAGCCTTTAGTGGCATTTATGTCGAGTGCCGGTAAAGACCCTTATTATTGCCGCTAAAAGTAATTACTTTTAGAGGCATTTATTTAGCGGCCTTTACTATTGCCATTAAAGCCACCTTAGAAACAAGCATATTTGTGGCTTTTTCTATTGCCGGCAAAAATAATAATTGTCACTCAATTATTGTAACGCCTTAAAACTGATCATAAATTCACCTAAATTCACATATTTAACCCTCTTTTATAACACCAAAAATAAAATTTACAAGAAAAATAAGTTCGAACGTAATAAAGAAGAATTACCAAACTCAAAACAATGTCATTCACTTAAAATAAGAAAAAACAATCTTAATCCATTCACTTTCTTATCTCGTAGAGGTAAAAGAAACTATGAATTATCAAAATAGAAAAAATATGTTCAACAATGGAGAAAATAAGGCAATTAAGCCACTGTTTTTTTCCCTGATGCAAAATGTTGCAGCTTTTTGGATCAGTGTGTCATTCCTTCCTTGAAAGATCTCACCATTTTAATAAGTATACCACTGTACACATATAGCGGCATATGGTTAGATGGAAAAAAATTGATATGACAATTACATATCTTACTCACTAAGACTAGGTGACTAAAATTTGAAGAAATAAAGAAGAAAATGACAATCCACCACTGGATTATGAAGCAGCTCCAAGGAGAAAACAAGATCAATAGTGGATAAATCAATTCAGCAAGATAAATAACGAGCTTGCTAATAACATCATAGACTTCGCAGTAAAATGCTAGAATGAGGATCCAAATGAACTCCCAGATATGAAGGAAGTTTTTGCCAACTTGTCCAATTTGGCTGGAACAACAATGTCAAATAAATCAATTATGCAAGAACAATAAGGAAGACCTACCATCTTGTCCAAATATAGTAACTCAAACATGTAAAGCTCCATGTATAAGCAGAATATCAACATTTTGTATTTTGTAAAAGCAGAATATCAGCATGAGTATCAACATGGGTATGCTATAAATGTATGCAATTTCATCTTCCTAATTATTCTACTACTATTGGACTAGTCACCTAGTGTTACCTAGAAGGACTACAATGCAACATACCTAAGGCAATAACTTCAAAATTCAGTATAACGAGGAAATAGATTTGGAGAAAGACATACCTGACATAATCCCAATGTTCTTCCTCCCAGAAACATGGCCTATAATAGATGCAGAAAGAAGGGAGGTTTTCAGTATATCTGTGATAGTGTTAAAGAAGAGAGATTTCCACAGCTCACTACAATAGTATCAAAAGCAACTTTAAGATAACACATTAAAACAATCACGGAAATAAATAACGTAAGCTTGAGACAAGTGCCAGGGTACTCTCTTTCAGTGTCAGGGTACTGTGCAATCTCTTTCAGTGCCAGGGTACTCTGCAATCTGCAAAATGTGCCGGGGTACAACAAAAAATGTGTCAAGTCGAATGAATATATGTACACATGGTTAAGCTAGTGAAGTTGAGTAATTTTTCTAATTTTTAGAAATTGAGGGTTTAAATCATATTCAAACAAAATATATTCAAATTCTAATTATTCTTTGTAAAAACAATCACGAAAATAAATATCTTAAGCTTGAGACGAGTAGTTATAGATATAGTGTTTAAGCTTAACAAACTCTCTTTCAGTGCCAGGGTACCCTTCTCAAGAATCTCAACAGTAAGAATCGGTAGCTTCTCTGATAGGCTCACTTCAGCATAGCAGGTACAATAATACATGAAAGTTGTAACCATATATGTAGCGAAGTCCCCTCCATTGTTGTCGCATTGGATTATGGTCTAGCACCAGAAAATAGGCTCCCCTCTCAATACCACGACACGATAGACACAATTCTTTGGATCAACAACCAAGTGTTGGATCGCGTTAATGGCGAAAAATGGCTAAAGGAATATGGAGATTTCTCAAGGTGTTACCTCTATGGTGTTAGTTGTGGTGGTAACATTGCTTTTAATTCCGCACTTAAACTACTCAATTAAAAATTAGAGCCATTGTGTATCAATAGGGCCATATTGAACCAACCTTTATTTGGTGGAAAAATGAGGACAAAATCAGAAATGAGATTAGCTACAGATCCATTTTTTCCCTTGCCAGTAATTGATGTGTTATGGGATTTTGCATTGCCAAAAGGGACAGATAGGGATATGTTCTTTCCTATAGGCAGGTAATGGTGTTTTAAGATTAATCATTAGAAGCCATTTTCTGTAAAGGAGTGATCTTATTTTGTTTTTCGTTAACATATTTGATCCGAACTATTTTGTACTGTATAGAAGCCTACAGATATATGTTTGGACTTTAAGAGCTATATTGCTTGTTGTTCATCAAAGTATTATTATAGCACTTGGATTACATGGCATGTTGAAAGGTTTCATCGATTTATTTGGTTTTTCTAAGCCCCTACATAGACAAATAGACTTGCATCAATTAGCTGCCTATTCCTATTTGTTTTGACAGGGATTTGCGCCACCAAATACTCCACCTTCCTATCCCAGGAACCAAGCTCGAATGTCTTAAAGGGCATTACTTGGTCGGTATGAGTTGAATACTGTAACACTAAGGTCTCCAATTCGATATGTTAAGGTACTCTATTGAATTTTTTTTCAAACTCCCTTGATTAGTAAGTGAACTTTCATCAATAGATATAGGTCATTTTCATGGTGGTGAAATAGATAAAAGTTGTTGAGTGATGAGTTATTGTGTGATATTTGTAATGATTCAGTTGTTTAGTTTTGGTAGTGATCTGAAAAATAGAACTACCTAGAGCAAACTAATCATTAAAAGACTGAAAAACTAGCTATACACGGAAGATAGTTCACAATTTAATTTGTCAAGATATAATTATATTAAACGAATTAATAGAATTTTTCTTACAGAATATAATGGAGCGTGTTGTGAATCCTGGACCGACTGATCGTACACTTCTTCTCTCTCAGCATGAGCATAAATCAGAATTGTTATGGAAAGGTGAGATATCATTTAGTAGCCTTATGAGGACGGTGCGCATGAATGATGCTTGGAATT